ACAATGTGCAGCCTTTCTTTTTAATAAGTGCAGAATAAGATCTCTTGCTCTGTTCTTCAGCATTTAACACCAAAGTCTTCGTCGTCGTAATGCTTGCGCATGTCTTTTTATGATGCTTACATAAACAATGAACCAGCCCGTCCTCAGACCAAGTCCATTCCATCCACCGGTCGACCCCAAAGATCCATTCATAAATTGTATGCTGTTCATTCAAAATAGGAATTTTCTCAAGTGTTAATTGATATTATTATATATTAGCATATTCGGCATATATAGGCGTTGGTTAGGTTAGGTGTTTAGGTTCTGTTGGCGATTATATGTATTTGTAATCCGTGGGTGAAGCATTTCAACCTGTCCTTGACTCAAGTCCATTACATCCAGCGGTCGACCCCTCAGACGCATTCATAAATTTTTACATGCTATTCATTCAAAACGAGAATTTTCTCAGATGTAAATTAATATTATAATATATTAGCATATTGTGCATATATAGACATAGGTTAGGTTAGATGTTCAGGTTCTGTTGGCGATTATTTGTATTTGTAGTACGTGGGTGAAGCATTTACAGCGTTGTGGTTTGAACAAAATTCGCCAGTGAAGCACTTGTTCCGGAAGTGTTCGAACGTCATTAGTTGCGATTCGTGTGTAAATTGTTTTTCATTCATAAACAGGGGGTTTGGCTGGTGCATGGATTGGACTTTGGGTCTTTGTTTATGAGGACGGGCTGCATAAACATGTATCTATGAGAAAATAACAAAAAGGGCCGTATGATCTGATCGAACCCGCATCTCTAGACCCCCAGGCACACGCACTACACCAACAGGCTGGCCAGCCGACACTACAAGTCAACAAACACTAGCGCCATCTGTTTCCTGGCTGCCACACTATTGAAGTCCGGACTTTCCTCGGCCACGTCACCAGTCCCACTATGCCATTTACCAAGCCTTCGTCTTTGCTTGACGTCTGCCATACAATTATACATGTTTTGCTGTTAAAGATGTTTGCTGCTTCTGTAACAATTCATGTCCTCAAACACACACGACTCACAACTGATCACGATCGAACATTTCTCGAGCAGTGTTTCATTAATGATCTCCGTTCGAAACTCTGTAAATGCTTCACCCACGTGATGGTCGTCAGTCAAGGCCATGAAGATCACAGGTCATCAGTCTCTCCGAGAATGTGTTCAGATATGGTCCAATCCGAACCGGAATTTCCGGTTACAGTGGAGTGTATTAGTACGGAAGTGTATTCACCTAATTGTGCTTGCGGGGGTTGAGCTTTGGCTCTTTGGTTCCGCCTCTCAACAATCAATCAACTGGTGTATAGAGTGTGGGCTCCCGCCATGGCGAGCCTCGTCAACATCGTCAACTTCTCGTCAACATCATTCAGTACGTATTTCAAATAAAATAATCGCCAGCAGAACCTAATCGCCTAATTTAACCCACGCCTAACTATAACTATAACATATATATAATATATATATATAGTCTCTTGAGGTTATCTTGAGATGATTTTGGGGCTTTAGTGCCCCCTTAGTGTGGGGCCTCGTAGCCTGGTGGATAGCGCGCAGGACTCGTAATTCTGTGGCGCGGGTTCGATTCCCGCACGAGGCAGAAACAAATGGGCAAAGTTTCTTTCACCCTATGCCCCTGTTACCTAGCAGTAAAATAGGTACCTGGGTGTTAGTCAGCTGTCACGGGCTGCTTCCTGGGGGTGGAGGCCTGGTCGAGGACACTAAAGGGCCGCGGGGACACTAAAGCCCCGAAATCATCTCAAGATAACCTCCCCGCGGCCCGGTCCTCGACCAGGTCTCCTTTTTTGTATCCATCCAGATACAAGCATTATAACTAATGCCGGATCAGAAATTATTTCCAATTTGGAAAGAAATTTCCTTTTTTTCCATCTTCCTCTATTGTTACGAAGGTAATCTCACTTGTGATTGGCTAGATGCTAGCCGATGATATTTAGTCTCCCTCATGGCGAGTTCTGATTGGCTATCATTAACGAAATGCGACTAATTTGTTGTCATAAAGGCTAACTGTCTTTTAAAAACTTATTTTGGATTTTATAACTGCGATACAAATTCAATTTGTTTCGTTACAAAACAAATAATCTTTATAGCTGAATATTAATGTGTTTAATAAAACTGATTTTAGAATAAAATAAAATTCAAATTTTTGATCTGATAAGTTACATTAATTAAATCAGCACATTTACTTCATCGAGACAAAAATTTAGTTTTATACATTAGAAAATACACGGAGTGAATATAGCTCGGTTGAGTATACTTTGAAGTCCACGTATATTCTTGTATTTGCGAAAATCGTAATCTGCACCGAATGATATATTTTTTGCTCTTAAGTATTTTGATAAATAATGAGCAATATCATTCCACTTTGTTAACGTTGATGAGTAGTTGTGTATTTTGTATTCAGATGTGATGTTGGAACCTTTTTGTTACTCGTTATTTTGGAATTCAGGTTCTGTCATACTCCATACATTTGAAACTGTATGGAGTCAGCCTCCACCACATCACTGCCTAATGCATTCCTTCTGTTAACTACTCTGACACTGAAAAAGTTCTTTCTAACGTCCCTGTGGCTCATTTGGGTATTCAGTCTCCACCTGTGTTCCCTTGTTTGCGTACCTCCCGTGTTAAACAGTTTATCTTTATCTACTCTGCCAGTTACTCTGCTAATTTTGTAGGTAGTGATCATGTCTTCCCTAACTCTTCTGTCTTCGAGTTTCAGTAATCTTTCCTCGTAGCATGTGTGTACTCACCTAGTTGTGCTTGCGGAGGTTGACCTTCGGCTCTTTGATCCCGCTTCTCAAGTGTCAATCAACTGGTGTACAGGTTCCATAGTCTGCTGGGCTCTATCATATCAACATTTGAAACTGTGTATGGAGTCAGCCTCCACCACATCACTGCCTAATGCATTCCATCTGTTAACCACTCTAACACTAAACAAATTGTGTGTGTGTGTGTTGGGGGGGGGGGGTATTGCTTGCACACGTGGGCTCGAAAGATTAGTTTTTCAGGTTTTCCCCACCGAGGCACAACAAAATTTTCGTAGGCGATAAAAAAAAATGGAATTTTTACAATAACTCAACAAGGACACTGCGTGTTTTGTTTACATATTTAGATACATATATGCTGGTACCCTCGACCAGCCTGGGTCAAGATTTATGAAACAATCACGCAATCACTTACGAAACATATACATCTTTGTTTAATCATGATGGTTATGTTTACATAGCCGCCATGATTACATAGTATTATTATTACTATTATTATTATTTATCATTTATTATTATTATAAACAACGTCGTATTGTTTCTGAGTTCGTAAGCTGTTTTAATAAATGTAAACAACGCCTCTATGATTGTGGAAAAATGTACAAGTTCCTTAACTGGTTACGTAAATCCTTGATGAATCTTTGCGGTTAGACTTAAGTGGTTGCTAAATTCTAGAAACAAACGATGTGATACTATAAGATCTCCAGCCTCACAGGATGGTTAATCTTCAGGGCCATGCGATCTGTAGTCAGTACTGACAGACTTCATAATGAAGATATCCTTAAGAACACGAGAGTTAATAGTGGTTACAAAGCTCCAGGTACCTCATACCAGTAGGCCTGAAGGGCCTAGTCAAACACGCCAAATCACCTGGGTATTCGGTAATGTAGTGTGTAAGCTCCTGCCGCAGTTCGTGCTCACAGAGTTTGCACCTGGAGTGCTCAGGATTGGGAGATCCGTCACCTGTAGCTACCTGCCACAGGTAACGGTAACCCAACCTGATCCTGGCAACCTCTGTGTCGCACAGTCTGGTCCACGTTTTGTGCTGCCCCTATATTTAGGATCAGAGCTAAAAAAAAAAAAAACATAAATTTCAATACTAGTGCTTTCAAGATATTGGAGTCTGGGATTTCTCTCTGACATGAATGTTTGGAACAATATAGTCTTAACAGAGATGGGGATGCCTAGGTCGAGTTCAACTTCATCTATGTTAAACGCTAATTTGGCTGCAATGTCTGTGTCTTCATGATGGGTTATATTTATGTTACATAATATCCATTCAACAGAGATCCAGAACCCTTTATTCTGTGCATCAAACAGATTAATTGTAATTGCTATTATGATGTTCTTGGTGTTGATCTTTCAGAAGTCTTCAAGTGCTTGAAGAACAGACCTTGAATCACAGATAATTATTCTAGTGTTTATTAGTGGACTGGTATCTAATTGTAGTGGCTCTTTGTGTAGACTCCAGCCAGTTGTGTCTGTGTACAAATATTACATCTATCAACCTACACGCTACTGCAGGGTGTCCATTTTTCGATTGAGCGAGTCATCAGTTTAAGCATGATGCTCACGAGACGTTAAATGTCTTCGATAAAGGAGGCAATTGTTTCAAGTGTAACAGTTTTGAGAAGAGCATGTTTCTCATGTCACCGTTCTTGACGATGGGCGTGGATGATACTTGGAAGTGGCCTGAAGCTAAATAATGACAGGTAGATTACATTTAAAAGTTGTGTTCAGTTTGATACGGTTGTATAGACCTTTTTACTCAACCATTTTATCACACAACATTGAGCTGTTGCGTGAGCATCACTCGGTGGTGTACTTTGGCAAGAGAGGAACCGTATTCACCTCCAATCTGCGGAAAACAGGCACAGTAGAGGACCCTGCAGATTTTGATTAATCCATGAATTAATTAGGGATTTACCTGCGGTATGATTAATTGATGTAGATGTTGTGCCCGAGGATAAGGAGAAGACGCCTGTTGAGGAAGGTGGCGCGGGGGCGGACATTTGTGAATGGTGTCTCAAAATCATCTTTGGAATTGTTGAGTTTGGGCAACCCACCGTGCTCACGCAACCCACCGTGTTGGGTCTGATTCGACCAGATCGTTAAAAAGGCGACGTATTACTATAGACTGTTTCGTCGAAATTGTCGTTTTCCCATAGGTTAGGCGGGTTGCCCGGGTCCTTGTGTTTTGGTTAGGTAAAACAGATGCATTTTTTACGAAGTGGTAAATGAAGAGAACGGGGCGGGTGTTCCCCCTTGCTTCGCCTGGATGTCTGGTGGGTGTGAGTCTGGATGTCTGGTGGATGTGAGTCGAAGTCTGGTGGGTGTGAGTCTGGCTGTCTGGTGGGTGTGAGTCTGGCTGTCTGTGGGGGGTGTGAGTCTGGCTGTCTGTGGGGGGTGCGAGTCTGGACGTCCGGTGGGGGGTGCGAGTCTGGACGTCCGGTGGGGGGTGCGAGAGTCTGGACGTCCGGTGGGGGGTGCGAGAGTCTGGACGTCCGGTGGGGGGTGCGAGAGTCTGGACGTCCGGTGGGGGGTGCGAGAGTCTGGACGTCCGGTGGGGGGTGCGAGAGTCTGGACGTCCGGTGGGGGGTGCGAGAGTCTGGACGTCCGGTGGGGGGTGCGAGAGTCTGGACGTCCGGTGGGGGGGTGCGAGAGTCTGGACGTCCGGTGGGGGGTGCGAGAGTCTGGACGTCCGGTGGGGGTGTGCGAGAGTCTAGACGTCCGGTGGGGGGTGCGAGAGTCTGGACGTCCGGGGGGGGGGGGGGTGCGAGAGTCTGGACGTTCGGTGGGGGGGTGCGAGAGTCTGGACGTCCGGTGGGGGTGCGAGAGTCTGGACGTCCGGTGGGGGGGGTGCGAGAGTCTGGACGTCCGATGAGGGGGGTGCGAGAGTCTGGACGTCCGATGAGGGGGGTGCGAGAGTCTGGACGTCCGGTGGGGGGGTGCGAGAGTCTGGACGTCCGGTGGGGGGGTGCGAGAGTCTGGACGTCCGGTGGGGGGGTGCGAGAGTCTGGACGTCCGGTGGGGGGTGCGAGAGTGTGGACGTCCGGTGGGGGGGTGCGAGAGTGTGGACGTCCGGTGGGGGGGTGCGAGAGTGTGGACGTCCGGTGGGGGGGTGCGAGAGTCTGGACGTCCGGTGGGGGGTGCGAGAGTCTGGACGTCCGGTGGGGGGTGCGAGAGTCTGGACGTCCGGTGGGGGGTGGGGGTGTGCGAGTCTGGACGTCTGGTGGGGGGTGGGGGTGTGCGAGTCTGGACGTCTGGTGGGGGGTGGGGGTGTGCGAGTCTGGACGTCTGGTGGGGGGTGGGGGTGTGCGAGTCTGGACGTCTGGTGGGGGGTGGGGGTGTGCGAGTCTGGACGTCTGGTGCTGGGTGGGGGTGTGCGAGTCTGGACGTCTGGTGGGGGGTGGGGGTGTGCGAGTCTGGACGTCTGGTGGGGGGTGGGGGTGTGCGAGTCTGGACGTCTGGTGGGGGGTGGGGGTGTGCGAGTCTGGACGTCTGGTGGGGGGTGGGGGTGTGCGAGTCTGGACGTCTGGTGGGGGGTGGGGGTGTGCGAGTCTGGACGTCTGGTGGGGGGTGGGGGTGTGCGAGTCTGGACGTCTGGTGGGGGGTGGGGGTGTGCGAGTCTGGACGTCTGGTGGGGGGTGGGGGTGTGCGAGTCTGGACGTCTGGTGGGGGGGGGGGTGTGCGAGTCTGGACGTCTGGTGGGGGGTGGGGGTGTGCGAGTCTGGACGTCTGGTGGGGGGTGGGGGTGTGCGAGTCTGGACGTCTGGTGGGGGGTGGGGGTGTGCGAGTCTGGACGTCTGGTGGGGGGTGGGGGTGTGCGAGTCTGGACGTCTGGTGGGGGGTGGGGGTGTGCGAGTCTGGACGTCTGGTGGGGGGTGGGGGTGTGCGAGTCTGGACGTCTGGTGGGGGGTGGGGGTGTGCGAGTCTGGACGTCTGGTGGGGGGTGGGGGTGTGCGAGTCTGGACGTCCGGTGGGGGGGGGTGCGAGTCTGGACGTCTGGTGGGGGAGGGTGCGAGTCTGGACGTCTGGTAGGGGGGTGCGAGTCTGGACGTCTGGTGGGGGGGGGGGGGGGTGCGAGTCTGGACGTCCGGTGGGGGGGGGGGGGGTGCGAGCCTGGACGTCCGGTGGGGGGGGGGGGTGCGAGCCTGGACGTCCGGTGGGGGGGTGCGAGCCTGGACGTCTGGTGGGGGGGTGCGAGCCTGGACGTGTGACAGCACCCCGCTGCGGTCCCCACTCCTGTCTCTTGCAAGTTTCCCCTCTATTGCATACATCGTCAAAATTCCAGTGCTTTAATAAAATAAAAGCCCTGCAATATTGACGCAACCACGAACTAACGAGCATCTAACTGTGATAGCTTAGGTGGGTTGTTTGCCACTCCGTTAAAAATGCAACTGTTTTGCCTAATCAGAAACGTGCAAACCCAACCAACCCGCTTAACCACCTCGAGCCGATGTAGAGAAAATCGTCAATATTACAATGCTGTATTTTTCTTACTAATATGTTGCATTGTTAACGGCTTGGTCGTTTCCGTAAGAAATGCGACGTGTCAGGTGAGAGGACAGGGGTGATGTCGATGACAAACTCAGGACAGAATTATTGGGAAGTTTTATTGATTCCTGAATACTTTAAAAGTGCAGCTTGAGGCTGTAAAGGTGAATTGTGAGGGATTATCTTGACAAGAGTCGGGTTTAA